TTTAATAACAATTTATAGATGAGAAATACGTTTTTCACAATTTTTAATGTCATTTATAGAAATAAAATAGTTATTTGTGTACCTCAATAATTGTTAAGGCTATAAATATAGACTTGATCTTTTTCGGCCGAATCAGAAATTTACGGCCGAGGCCAAGTAACGTCTAGTGAGTAATATTACAATAGAGACAGATAATTTTTTTCATTTAAATTTTTTACAATATAATATGATTCATCAAAAATAAAACATCAATAATAATATCTATATATTAGTAATTACAAACAATATTTAAAATTCAAAAAATCTTCCACATAATAGACATTATATATTTTGAAAAACTTTTTGAGCTAATTCTTAAATAAAAGATATCTTTTACAGTTTTTTATGAAGTCCAGAAGTTTATTGTATAAAATGAATCATATACAATTAATTTGTCTAAATGTCTTACAAACAAAGGCATAATATAGTTTAAAAAAAGAAGAAACGACAATGATTACTGACTTTTATGTTTTAACGATATTTTTAAATTTTCATTTCATATCTTATCAAAATAAACTACTTTTTTGGATGTCTTTTTATGAAAAGTCCCATCACTAATCTATATAGCAACTGGCATATAGCAAGTTCTAAAATTATGAAATCTATATTTTGCTTAAATTTATTTAAGTTCTAAAACTAATAAACAAATTTATGGAACATATAATGAAGCTAGAGGCAAAATACTGTATTTTACAAATATTGGTCGACAAGAATCATATTTAGGAACTTTACCTATTATTCTTATTAAAGATAAAATCATAACTCCTGGATTTTTGTGCGAAATAGATTATTAATTTGCAATAAATACTAATTTTGTGTAAGTTAAATATAAAAAATAAATCATGAAATACTAACTTATATGGTAAGCAATAAACATTATAATGGTTTAAACTCTACCTATTGAGTGTAATGTAGGTAAAAAAAATTAAAAACACTATTTTTTTTTTCCAAGAATAATACAATATTTTTTAACCGACTTCAAAAAAGGAGGAGGTTCTCAATTCGTGGTAATATTTTTTTATGTATGTTCAGCGATAATTCTTTAATGATTTCAATGATTATTTTTTTGCTAGAAAGAAGGCACTTCAGGGGTGGTCCCATATTAATTTGGCCAAATTCTAATAATTGGGTCCATTGGAAAATCCATAAACTCTTCATTTTTAATGTATGTTTAGCGGTAATTCTTTACCACCTTGTCCAATTTCTATGATTCTTTTTTTGTTAATAAGGGGGTACCTCAGGGGTGGTCCCATATAAATTTGGTTAAGATGTGGCGACGGCTTCAGCACGATTTTAAAGTCGGTTTTTTAATTTTTTTTTAATACTTGTTACATATAAAGATGTTAAACAAAATATAATACAATAAATTAAATAAAAACAAGATATATTTTAAACAAATTTATGAATCCAATTTTGGAGTTAATTTGAACAGTTTTACAAATAGGTAATAATGAGAGATTTTTAAATCAAAATCAGATTTTTAAGACTAATAAATTTATAAAAGTCAATAAATTAATAAATTTACATATATACAGGGTGGTGATTTTAAATGGACCGCTACTTATAGCGGATCTTCTGATAAAAATTTTATAAAATCTGAAAACACATAGAACTATATAACAATAAAGCAGCGTTGAAAAAACTACTGGATGTTCAAACGCAGCAATTACGTGTGATATTACGGCAATAATCTTTAAATCTACAACACTGAACAATGCAATACATCACCTAACCTTACTTACTTATGAAAAGACACTTCAGCACTTACATTATCCAGTTTTTGGAACAAAATGCACTAGCTAACCATGTTGTTAACTGTATACTAAATCTGTAAGCCGAAATATTTCCAAAAAAAGTATTAAAATAAACAAAAACACCCGATATGGAACAATTTACTGTAAAGTTAAAATCACCAGATAGCACCTTTTACTAAAATATCTTCTCGTGAATGCTTTGCAAACTTCTCAACTCTAAAAGACACTTGTTTTCTTCTTTAAAATAATTTGTAACTATGTACTTTTTACTAAAAATTTCCTGTAGCCAACTCTTTTTTCAAAAATGTATGTTCTTTTTATAAAGCCCTTTGTCTTTTTTGTTCTTGGTTGTTTTTAATGTTTGTAATAAACCATCTCATCTGCTTTTAAATGTAGGATGAACAAAGCTGCAATTAATTTAATAATAGTGAATGATATTTGCAGATTACTCTAAAATCTTACCATTAGAGTTTAATTTTAGTTTAGGCTCAGTCCCTTTATTTATTCTAACGATTTTTGTGTGTAAACAGTAAAAATTGTTTGACTACGGCTCGCTATAGGCTTGCCAAAATTTCAAAATACTTCGGGATATACACAAAGTGTGAACCAAATTCAGCTCGGAGGCCGTACCCCGTACCCTAATCTAATATGTTTAAAATAAACCATTCACACAATAATATTTCTCTTAATAAAAAGTAATTAATTTGAAATTAGATGGAAATCATTACATGATTTTTCCATGCCGTTTTGTAGCTTGTCTTTCAAAAAATCAAATTACCGATTTTATAAAAACGTCAACACAGGTGCATAGTTCAAAAATAAAAATATAAACACCACTAAATAATAATAAAATATATAAATTTTTTAAATAACTAATGTACGAACCGCAGCAGAATATTTTCTGTCGGCTCGACTTTTCATTCCGTGACGTCACACCCTTCCTTAGCAACTGGCGGAAGAGGCCAGCATGTTATCTACGAACCGTGATTTTCATGAAATGTTTGTTATATTTTTAGCTGCATTAGAGGATCATGCGCACGCGGCGATATTGGCATTCCATTTTAAATTTACAGTCCACTAGTAAATTGAAATAGATATAAGGTGCAGTCTTGTCTTTTGGTTAGAAATTTCGCTTGAACGAAAATTTTGGATGGACACAATAGTTTTCAAAAATTTTGTTAATTCCCTTTTCACCCTTATTGGTTCCACAATCAAGTATTTTGACATTTTTGCGAATTAATCTTGGTTATTATTCGTCCTATTTCAATAGTTTACTAAGTAATTTAGTGATTGATGTCAGTAAATTCAAAATAATCAATATTATTAGTTTTTATTGTTGCCATTTGCCGTATGTCATCTGTCGATCGAAATCTTTTTAATCGTCTCTTATTATGTTGCAATTTATTTTGACTGGACCACTTTTTAGGACTAGTTATATTGTTTAATATAGACTGAGTTTTAAAGCGGGAATTTTGGGAACTCCTAATGGGAAATTTTAGATTCGGCACCACTGTAATGGGAGTAAATCATGAAATAATTAAAAAGAGTGAGAGGTAAGGGAAAGAGAGTTCCACCTGCTTCTTAGAAATATTGCGGTACTACTAAAGAATCGATACTGGTATCGAAAATGTAATTAGAATAAATATATGTATACCGGATAGATAGCTAAAATAGTATCTATACCAGTGACCGATTTTTTTAAGTTCAGCATAGTACATATTCAGAACAACCAATAAAAAAACGATAACAGGTAAGTTGTTAAAACGTAACAAATACCATAAAATGATCCTACACTACACTTTTTGAAATAAGTAGTAAGTATCAAAACAGGAGTAAATCCGATATGGGTAAAATATCGAAAGCAAAGTATCAAATGTTACCTCTTGGGTAAAATAGGATAAAAACTTACTGCTTTTTAAATTTAAAATTTTATTTCGCGTCGTTTATCCATTAGCTGTACAATATCTAAAGAAGAGAGCATTAAATGACAGAAAAGTCACCAAACTCGAGAAGCCCTCTGGTGGCGATACCATTGAACTACAGTCTGGTCACAAATATTTTTTATACAAAATTAAATTCGGCGGTGGTAAATTTATTGTATTTTCAACAATTTATTTTTCAGTTGATTTTTTTGAATATAATTTCTCACACAACTTAGCTAATACTTTCAGCCATTGTGAACTAATTTAAGATCTCACAAAATCATTAATTTTTTAAGCAAATGGAATGGCCAGGGGCGATGTTTTTATATAATAATAAACTTTATTTATCCTCCTCAGTTAAAAACTGCTCTACCTCTTGAACATTAAAAGAAAACAACTAAAGCTAATAGAAAAAAAAAAACAAAATATCCATAAACAAATAGGAAAATTAAAAACAAATATATAAAACCGATGATTTTTAAAAGTAAAGAGAAAATAATAATTAACATACCTACTGATTAACATATTATAGTGATTTACAATAATTTGATTTTAAAATAGAAGTTCTGTAACGAGCTTTCTAAAATTTTAAAGACATTTTTTAAGTGTATGGACATAATATTGTTCGTTTTACTAGTTAGTATGAAATCGAATTTTGAAACTTGGCTGCTGCATTAGTTTCGCACCAATTTTCCTTTAAGCCCAGCCTTAATAAGTGAAAATTACCACTTTGATACCAATAAGCTCAGGTGAAAGGATCAAGTTTATGAAGATTGAATAAAAATGTGAATCATAAATTGGAGAGAAAAAGTAAGAGAAAGAAATAAATGAGAAAAATAGTAAACATGACAATAAGACAGAATATTCTTTGACGAAGGGATGATGACATAAAAAAGGAAGATGCAGCGTGATTCACCACATAAAAAGAATCGGAGGAGGTCACAGTACGAGCGGCGGATAATCCATACAGGAGTTTAAGTCCCATATATATTATAATTACAAAATATAAAATTCTATAAGTATCTATTTAGTAAATATTCGAATTCACATTTAAATGGTAATTCTGAAAGGATCCAGTGATAGATTGCCTGTATCGAACCTTCATTCATCTTTCATTAAAATCATATTAAATTTTATGATTTTTTCTCAATATTTATATTAAAAATGCAATAACGAACTAGTATGACATAAAAATTTGTATGCACCGCAGGTATGAGTAGATATTTATGCCCTGAGGACGACGATTTCACAAACACGAGGAAATAACCTATTAACTTTTTTGCAGGTTCCCCAACAACAACATATACCAATGTCTCCACAGCAGCAGCAACAGCAGCAGCAACAGCAGCAGCAACAACAGCAGCAGCAACAACAACAACAGCAGCAGCAACAACAACAGCAGCAACAATCACACGTATCTGGATCACCACACATGCAGCAACAATCGCCTCACATGCAGCAACACATGAGTCCCCCACCGATGGTGTCCAGTTCCCCACCCATTTCGGCTCCGGCTCCCTCCATTTCCACGTCGGCTCAATCTAATCCCAATGTAGGTCCTGGACCCATGAGACCCAACGCTTGTATACGTCACGGATGCCCCAATCCCGCCATCACAAATGCCGAATGGGAAGACGAGTACTGCAGTAATGAATGTGTTGTTAGCCATTGCCGGTAAGTAGGCTAAGCTATGAAACAGGTTTGTTCATAGGGCGCCATAAATAGTATTCAAAAAATACATGAACTAGATAAAATGTTGGATTTAGTTTAAATTATATGCAGGGTGGAAGAGAATAACGAGCAGTTTTAAAAATGGAAAAAGTTTTATAAATAAATTTAATATTTTGTTAAAGAACAAAAAAAATTTGATGTGTCCAACATATGAATTTTCTGTCTAGTTATTACAGGCTTTTTCCGGTTATTTTGTACAACCTATTGTATTACCCCTGTTTAGAGAATGAACTAAATACATACTTTTTCCACACCCATCTTACTCGAAATATTTTTTTATATACAGTGTGTCCAATTAAGTCAGAACCATATGGGAAACTTTTTTAATCTTAGTTTTATAAAAAAAGTAATTCTTTATAAAAAGTTCTGCATGGTCTACAACTTGAAATACAATCATCGGATATCAAATTTTTTGAGCAGTATACAAGGTTTGTCAAAAAATATGAATTTTACTCAATAGTAAAGTATCTTTATTCTTTATAAGACTGATAAAATTTGATATCTGATGGTTGTATTTTAGGTTTTAGACTATGCTCAACATTGTATAAAGAATAACTTTTTTCCTATTATTAATAATAAAAAGTTTTTCATATGCCGCCAATTTACGTAGACAGTTGGTGGCATAGGGAAAGCTTTTTTATTACTAATTTTAGGAAAAAAGTCATTGTTTATAAAAAGTCGAGCATGATCTGAAACCTAAAATACAACCATCAAATATCAAATTTTATCAATCGTATAAAGAATAAAGGTACTTTACTCTTGAGTAAAATTTATATTTTTTGACAAACCTTGTATACGGTTTAAAAAATTTGTTATAAAGCGTTGACTTTTTTATAAAATTTAATAAAAAAGTTTCCCCTATGCTTCCGACTTAATTGGACACAATGTATATTCATTGCCAACGAAAATACTGAAAAATTAAAATTGTACACTTTTTCTCAAATTTCTCAAATACGGACCATTTTAGGAAAAATTTGTATAGAACATAAATTATAGAGAATAATATTACAAGCAACTTTTATTTGACGTAAGTAACAGATATATTCCATAAAATAGAAAAACTGCCCCAAAAGTAGATATGTTCTTCTGCTTTCTAAAACAAATTATAGTAAATTTAATTTAATGTCTAAAAAATTTTACTGAAATTCTATTAGCTCAGCTGCGGATCCTTTCCACGAGTTTTATGAGGCCGTAAAGAGATTTTTCAATGCTCCTTTCCTAGACAGAAGATTAAAATGAAAATTAAAAAACAGTGGATTACTAAAGGTATAAGAACATCATGAAAAAAGATGCGTGCGTTGCATCACATCAGAAAATATTACCAAGATGGTTTTCCTATTTACTACTCTAATAATTGCAGAAAGATTTTTCGACCAGTTATAAAGAGCCAAAGATATGTATTACCATTCTAGATTAGAAAATTCAGCAAACCTGGACCATTGTCAACGAATTAAGGGGGAAACGCCAAACCAAAACTAGTTCTCTATAGATCCCGATTGAACTCATTTTATTATAATATTGCTCACAATTTAACTCAAAAACTGAACTCTAAACAAGAACCTGTTTCTTATATCAAGGAAATTAATGTTACCACCCCCTGTGTCTTTTATAACACCACCTTAGAAGAGTTAAAAGTAGCATTATATTCAATAAAAAATCAAAACGCTGCAGGTTATGATGAGTTATCAACAAAAAAAATTAAAAATCTACCTGATTCTGCATTGATTGATAATAGCTTTCAAGACGGAATATTTTCAAATTTCTTAAAAACCAGTGTTGTGATACCCATCCATAAAAGCGGTAATAAGGAAGATCCGTCTAACTTTAAACCCATTTCTCTTATTCCCGCATTAGGTAAAATAGTTGAAAAGCCGATAAAAACTCGTCTAATAAGTTTTTCGACTCCGACAACATAATAAGCAGTAAACAGTTTGGCTTTATTTAAGAGCAAAACTAATACATGCCATATTTAATTGCCTAGAGAGAGCCTACAATAATATGCTAACTAAAGCATTCGATTGTGTATATCACAGAATACTGCTGCAAAACTTTCCTATTATGGAGTTGGAGATGGGGCTCTGAAGTTATTATTACTTTTTAAATCTAGATCTTAGATATTTCTTTTTGACAAATTATTAAAAGATTTTAAAGTAACTACCTACATTATTTTTGTGTTTTCCTGGTTCATATACATATTTGATTATATATTATTTTTTAACATAACTGTGATAATGCAGATCGTAATAAGGTGTTCAACTTTTTCAACTTTGCTTTTCGAGACCATCTTGGGATGCTGGTTCAATCCCCAATGAAGTATCTTTTTTAATTTTGAAAAATATGAAAAATGGAAAAATACGACTATTGTTGTTTATTTTAAATATATATTATTTATCATAATATAACCCCTACAGTTAATCTTTTCGTTATTTATTTTGTACTATTTTAATTACTGTTCAGAAAATAATTGTGAGTACCTAGATAAGTGGGTAATCGTTAACAATAAACCAAAGAAAAACATTATTGTATTTTTAATTTTAATTTTTTATTTCATGGATTACCATTTTTGTGATAAAATTATTTTGTGGTCGTAGGAAAAATATTGTACATCACTTATGTGAAAGTTATTTTTCACACTCGTGTGATTGTCGCACTCGACTTATACCTCGTGCGACAATATTTCCCACTCGTATGAAAAATGTCATTTTTTACACTCGCAATGTAATATACTGTCCGGCAAAGTAATTTATTTATTTATTTATTAATACATCCAATAGGCTTTATCAGCCCAATTACAGGAGTATATAATATATTTAAAAATACAAAGTTTGAGAATACTTACTTAACTAAATTACATTCTAATTACCTAATTTGATACCAATATGTAACATTGCTCTCTAAATTGGTAAAATTTTAGAAAAAATATATCAACAGAATACTGATTGACACTTCTACACATTGTAGTTAAAGGACTTTGAAAGTGATGTTGTGAATTTCGCACTTGAACATGAAATGTTATATTTGACCTTGACGTAATACGTGGGATATGAACATTGAATTGAGACAGCAGAGAAGATGAATCTATAAAATTATTAATTAATTTATAGATGAATATCAAATCTGCTATTTCTTTTCTTTTTCTCAGACTCACAAAACTGAATTCTTCTAACAAATTATATTCATAGTGACTAATAGGATAACGGCCATGTTTTTTAAAGTAAATAAATTTTTAAAATTTTCTTTGGACAGATTCTAATGCACTTATGTACTTTAAATGATTAGTATTCCAAACACAACTGCAATACTCCAGTTTGCTACGAACTAGGTAAAAATAAACAGAGAAATAACAATACCCAAGATTTTTGTTGCACTTTGTGCAGTGTTTTCAATGTGTTCCGAAAAAGTCAGTTTGCTGTCAAATAAGATCCTAAATCTCTGTAATTATATATTCGGGGAATAACAAGATTATCTAATTAATAATCATATAAGACAGTGTTTACTTTCCTGGAAAAGGACAGGACTTTGCATTTGTTAGTATTCAAAGATAGTTTATTTACGATACACCAGTTATGTAAGTCGACGAGGTCGTTTTGAAGAGCAGTGCAATCTAAGGTATCCTTTATTTCCCTATAAATTTTCATATCGCCTGCAAACAAAAGTTTCTTAGAGTTGATACAATGACAGATGTCATTAATAAAAATAACAATAATGGGCCAAAATTCGAGCCTTGAAGAACCCCTGATGTTGACATTCTCATATTCAACATATAACTGTCGATCAGTTAAAAAAGACTTTAACAGTGATTGCATACTCTTTGAAACACCAAACTGTCTTAGTTTCAGAAGTAATTGTTTGTGAGACACCTTATCAAACGCTTTGCGACGTCAACTTGATTTCTACAGTCTAAAGAACTAGATATGTATTGCGTAAATGTACACAGATTTGACGCGGTACTTCTGAGCTTCACAAAACCATGTTGTTATTCCGTGATTGAATTTTTTACGTTGAATATTAGAAAATATAATTTAAAAAATGTGTGAAAAAACAGATTAATGCGATTGGTCTGTAATTTGATATATTAGAAACTTTACCAGCTTTGAAAACGGGATAGATTCTAGATATTTTCCAAAAGTGGTAATGAAAAGTCGCAACGAAAAGTAGTCGACCTTGGGTACATCCTGAATGTTTTTTTTTTTTAAACACTTTGGGAACAATATTTGCATTTGTATTTTCTTATTTTTTGCAAATCATTTCTAAAAATACTTCCAACCTTTGGATTTTTTATGTTTTTATTTTAATAAGACATAAAAAGAAAATTAAAACAAAAGTCAATAGTTATTTGTCGTTTCTTCTTTTTTAAACTACATTTTACCTTTGCAAGAAATTCAGACAAATTAATTAATTGAATTCCACTTTTGAAGAGTGTGCTTAAAATAGTCAACTTTTCGGACTTGCCTGTGGACTTTTCAAGTGACCCATCACTAAAATGAACTATTTAATTTGATATTATTTGGCAATACTATTAACACGCTACTATGAACAAACCAAATTTTGTAAGGAGTGGTCCACAAAAAATATTTCTACAGTAGGCCTTGGACAAATTGACGCATTTCGTAGCGGACAATTCTTCTTTTTAAGTGTCAGTTTGGATTTAATTCAGAGCCGCGAATAGTTATCACTCCTATCTGCCTTTGTCGGTTTACTTTAGAAACATTTTTTGTGAATCACTTTTTATTTTACACCTTATCATTAAGCTTAATCTGAAATTGGGTTAATTTTATGTTGTATAAATTTTCTTCTTATGTTTCAGCGATGTATTCACAGACTGGGTATCCGCAAATAAGAACCAAGCACAGAACTTCTCGACAGTTAAATAAATTCTTACGTTAGGGCAGAGTTGCAAGATAATGAAGAAATAAAATAAGTAAAGTAGCAATACCAACTCGAACTACATAAAAAATATATATATTTTACGCTAGGCAGGAATGAAGTTGAAATCAGGTTTCGATAATGTGTAATAGTGAGAGGATAGATTAAGAATTGTATATAAAATGATAATCATTTTAGTATGTGAGGTTGTATTGAAGCAATAGAAGCAATACGATTTCATTCTATAGGTATACAATACTAAAATAAAATTGTAATACTAGCATTATACAATTGTATATTCAATATACGGGGCGGGCAAAAATTGTCCGGTGTGAATGAACGGTTTTCCCATTTTCTTTCATTACTTTCGTTTGGTTTATATTTAATCCTCTTTATACTATATTATTATTATTTTTAAATCGGATAAATATTTTATATACACTTTTTTCCGCATATTTTGCCGTTTTACTTAAGAAAAAATGCAAAATCTCCACCATGAACTACAATTTCACCCATTTTCATATTATTAACTGTGATAGAAAACAGCAACCAATAAGTTTGAAATATTTAAACACAATTTTCTGTTGACTGTGTATTTACTAGTGCGATTAATGTATAGAAAATCACTTTATTATTAATCTCTATTTTTGAAGAATTTTTCTATTAATAAACGATTTATAATAGCGTTCCCTTAGATGAATAACACAAGTTTGTTAACACGTTCACGACCGCTATTATGAAATTTGACGATGCTAGAGACCAACCACGATTTTTTGGGTGGCATAACTTTTTGACAGAAATATTATATTTTTTATAGGTTATATCTATTTTTTGTATTTTTACTTAATGTCACATAATATGTAACATCGGTTCCGAGTAATATTTCATTAAAATATACCACCTGTCACAATGGTGTGACGTGTTATTTTGGATAAATTATAACATTTTATATTCTAAATGAAACTAAGGATACATTTTTTGATTATTTATATTGCAAAAAAAATGAGAAAAACTTTGTATAAAAAAACAAACTACAAGAAAGACATAATTATTGTGAGAAATGAAAAACAGACAAAAAAAAATATTGCAATTCTGACTTTGCAGAAATTCTCATTTTTGACTTTTATGCCACATGCCGAAACATGGGGATGAACTTAATCCAATAGGGTTTTTTTCTTCTGGGCTCATCTGACTATGTCTCCGAATAACACTGAAGCCTGTTGGCTTATTGTGTTTTACCCCATGTTAGTTCATAATACCCACTCTGTCACCTTTGTCCTTGTACAAGTTTGTACAGATCCTTGGGTGAGTGGGTTCTATATGTTGTTGGATCAACCTGGGGTTGTCCAAAAAGAGCCTGAGCTTCGCATTCGCACAGTATGTGTTTGGCCGTTTCTGGTTTCTTGTGACATAGTCGGCACATGAGTTCCCCATTGTACATGCCAATTTTGTACAAGTGTCCCTTTACTGGAACGTGCCCAGTCATGAACCTTGTTATCACTCTCAACTGGTTCCTATTCATAAAGAGTAGTTCTCCAATTCTTTTGGGACATGGTCTGCCTATGAAGGCTTTTCCATGTGCCTGTTTTGGTGTGCTTCCCCAATAGTTGATATGTTGTTCCTGAATCCAGTCGTTTATGAAACCCCGGACTGTACTTTTTGGTACTCTTGGGATTGTGTCTGGTTCCGGTGTTTCTTCTGAACCTCTTTTTGCAAGTTCGTCAGCCTTTTCGTTGCCTTCAATCCCTTGGTGACCTGGCATCCAAGATAGTTTTACTCTATTTCGGTCTGCCAGTGTTCTTAGTTCTTCAATGCATTCCCATACCAGCCTCGACGTAACTTTCTGACTCGATATGGCCTTAAGTGCTGCTTGGCTGTCTGACATTATTTGAATATGCTGATTTTCGACAGCTCTTTCATTGTTCGTTTTTGCACATTGCAAAATTGCGTATACCTCGACCTGAAATATCGATAGTGTTACCTTTATTATCCTTACATTGCAAACAGGAATACCAAGTTATACTCCTTTCTGTGTTTCTACAATCAACAAAACATGCACAAGTTGGGAGACGATACAAACCACAGCTGCCACGTGAATTTAAGGTTGTTAAGCTTAGCTGCTATCCCTAAGCGAGAAAAGTTAATACCTTTGTTGTACTGTTTACCTTTATTAACTACCAAACCCTTAAAAGAAAATTGAAAAAGTGAAGTAATTAAGTTGGTTGAAAATTCCTTTTAAATTAATCAAGAAACAATGTAAAAATGGGGATTGTTTAATTGCCTCGAGCAAGACTTAAAACAGTCCCTGAAGAGTTAGCTGGGTAAATTGTCTCATGGACACAGCCCATTAAAAGAAAAGAAGAAGAAGAAGAATTTAAGGTTATGACTGGAACCAACCATCCAATCCTAAAACCATATGACACATGTGTGTGCCAGACACGCCCAGAAACTGACGTCAAAACACATCAGTCGCCACTGAACCGCCCGGGAGTTATTTGCATTTAATCATTGTCATACATTTATGGCAGCAGTTCCTGGAAAATACTGCTTGTCACATATGTGTCGCGTGGTCGTCAACGTGTTAATTTATATAATCATTTCTCTGAAGTTCATACATGACTTTTGTCCACCTAGGTTGCTCTGTTCGAAACACTGTGCGACTATAGACAAATATACATGAAATTAAATATTCAATATATGTCACTGTCAAATTTTTATTTTATGAAATATCTATTATAATTAAATCACCAAATCATTGGAAATCATTTTCTCCAATTTAATAAGAATCTTAACAATTACAAATTCGCTCCGCTCACGTAAAAAAATGTCTCGGATTAATAATACATCTTATGCGTATTCGTTAAATATCAAGTAGGTAATAGTAGTTTGTGCAACAAGAGTGGATATGATGGCCATATCGCACGAAGACGAAAATTGAGCACGACGCCGTAAGCGGAGTGGTCAAGAGTCTGAGTGCGATATAAACATTCCACTCGAGTTGTACAGTGTATTTTTTCTACGACCCACTAACGGAAATCTACAAATTAAAAACATATTTTAGGACAAAATTTTTAAAATAAATTAAATCAAAAAAAATTGTCGCCTCGTTCCTCGGATTTTCGCGTGGAAGTCAAGCACTCTTCCATGCTTCTACGTCCACTTTTACAATTTTGGTTTAAATACTAATAAAATAGTTTCATATAGTTTGTTTAAAATTTATTTTTTTTTAAATATGGTTCAAATAAAAATAAAAATGCTATTATTTACGATTATTTATCGATTCTACACAAAAATAACTCATTTTATTGTATATTTAATCTTAGTAATTAAAAAATATACTGACAATTAGTTTGACAAATTTGTTACTAATTTAAAATTTTAAAAATAATAGTAGTTGGGTGTCCAAAATATGAACTGTGATTGGTGGATTTCATTTTTTTATAGTGTTCTCACTAACTAGAATGGATATGAAATATATTCGTTTAGTTGAACGCATGACATACTTTTTCTTTTTGTAGTCTGTGCGTAGATAAGCTAAGATCCATGTGGGTGTAGAAAAATATATTATTAATAGCTACTAACGATTAATATAACCATTTGTTATTAATAAATGATTTTCTATACATTAAAAAACTCATAAACGCAGGACCAATGAAAAATAAATTAAAATAGAGCAATGATTTCTACTAAACCTGCCTTTGCAGAAATTATATAATTTTTACAAGTTGTTAAATTTAAATTTTTATGCCCATTTGAAATATAATATGTCATTTGTTGCCAATGTATAAGCAATTGCTTACATTTGTAAGCATTAAAGGGATGTGGAGTTATGCTGGATTTGGAGGATTTTAACAAATTTCGTTTATTATTATTATTAATATTAAGAGTAGTTTTTAATTATTGTATAAAACATTTTTTAGGTACATTAAATTAAAATAAATTGTAAAAAAAATATTTCTCATTCTAAAAATCATTTTAAACTTTTTACTAGCAAAAGATGAGGACGTTTGGGGAAATTTGTAAGCAATTAGTGATTTTCCATTGGCAACACTATATGTCATATTAGACATTGATATGGCGCACTCCTAGATGTCATTCTTTAAAATAATTAATTACCGACACCTACAGACTTTGCAAAGTTTGACCATTCTTCAATTAGATACTTAATACAAGAATTTGTACACTTTGATTTAATGTCAGGATGAAATAATTTTTCTGAAATAACCTAACATTACGCTTACTAGTTCACGGAATAAACGCATTTTTGTCCGCCTCGTTTTTAATAAAAAAAATACATTTGTTATTTCATGCTCTGTATTATGCATGTAATCCTTGATAAAAATTTGTAGGTAGTTATGTCCAAAGTACATAATATTGAGACAAATACTTTAGTTCTTATATATTTAGGTCTCTGTTGTTAAAAGAGAAAAATCCAGATCTGTGAATAAATGTCTTACGAATGAGGAAAATTAAAATTGGTTTATCTAATTTCTGATAAAAACTTGGTTTATTTTATATTTTGACATTTCCTAAAAAGAATGTCACTTATATAACTAGTTATAAAATACAACCAAATAAATTACAAGAAAGGGGATAAATCAAAAAATATTGATTCATTCTTTTTTTTATTACAGATACTTCGGTAGATTTTTACATTTCATAGAATCTGAATACAACAATAAATGATTACGATTCTTCCATTATTGATTTAGTAAAAATAACTAAACTCCAAACAATTTTTTTTATATGAAAAATAACATTAATGTCATTGTTCGTAGAATAGCTAACAAGTTCTCTTCAAAGTTATTTTAAAAGCTAAAAGTTGGTGTCTAAGTAATAATTCTATCAGTTGTCAACCTGTCGCAACTGTCACTTTTTTTTTATAATATTTTAAAAAAAATCTAATTTGATGTTGTGACACATTCTTCTTTGACATTTTTTTTTTATATTTCAATAATTGTGACGCTTGTCCTAAATTGTATTATCAGTCATCCTTAAATATTAACTTAAATGTGAAAATATACATTAATCTTAAAATACCAACGATCTCTAGCGACTGAATCAAATGTGAAAATGTAGTTATTACCAATAATTATTGTTAAATATATTTAAGACTGCATTTTGTTGTGTTCAGAATCTTCACCGATCCGTAGCATACGATTATTTTTATATCATTGACCAATCAAAGTTACGCTTTCTGTCGATGTATATAAATCTAGCAGTTGTTACTTTATTGTTATATATATCGATATAGGCAATTCGTTTTTTGCGTGAACATCCCTAGTATTAAATACCATGGTGAAGGATGTATATTTGTGAATATGTTGAACGAGTTGTTAGAAATCGAATTGTTTTAAACAGCGAAATTGTTGATACTATTCGGTTGCCTTTCGTTTTATTTTTGTTGCTTCGCAGGTGAACAGTGATTATATTACATTTTTAGGTCATTTTTTTTGTATCTATTTATCATATTGTGATGAAATTACAATTCAAACAAAATAGCGTAAATTGGTAGACCAATATTACTGCTAAAATTTAATTCATTAAATATAATTTTTATAAGGGGTACTTTTAAAATATATAATCTATTAATTTTTATTTTTGGAACAAAATGACAAGCTTTTTTATATCATTCTCGTCACATTTGAGACTAGTAATACTTATGTTATTAAACTAGCAACAGGTGATATGAATTAAATTTTGACTTAAAAATGTTATAAAAGTCAATCCTTAAACGATTTATCATTATTTTAGTTAATAAGCTGTTTAAAACAGTTTGATCTGTAAGAATTGTATAGATTGAATTTTAGATAAATACATATGAATTACTTACGAAAAAAATTGTTTATTTTTTATTTTTATTGTTTTAATGTGTTTGTTTCTATTTTTATTTTTTTATTTGATTGTTTGGATCTAAGCAATGTAGCCAAACAATCATATTTATAAAGCGTTTTTTGAAAGATATCGAAAGTATATTTGATTATTTCTTAATGAGCTTTAAAATTTTTAAGTACAATTTATGTTCCACTATTACATTGTAAATATCATACTTTATTCTGACAAGCACACAACCTATACTAT